AAGAAACTAAAAAGAAAATCTCTTCGAATTTCAAATTTTCTAGTAGCGGTACAAACTTATTTCATGTTCGGAAAGAAAATTACATCATCCTCACATCTTGTAATTTTCATATTATAGACAATCAAGTAATATTTAACAAATATTTTTTAAGAACAATATTATTCGAAATGTAAAATTCATAATGGAAATTAAAGCTATACACGCTCATATCTCTATTACAAAATAAAACAAAATTCGCTTAATCTATTTTATTCTATTTCACACGAATTTTTTTCATTCTATAATACTTAAAATTACTTTGCTGTTCTTTTTATTATTAAAGGAGCTATCTTCGAAACTGAAGGTGGTGGCTATGTTACAAGTTTCACAATTGATGCTAATGAACCATTAATTCAACGTTCAAATGAGCGATATGACGGGCTTCTGCAAAGGATAAGATTAAACAAGGAAGAACTAGAATCTCTCACTGCTCGTCGGGACATCCGAAATGCCAAACAGAGACATAAGGAAAGCGAAATGGGTCTGAAACGCTCGTGTGTTTTACGTGAACTGAAACATTTCGACGTGCAACGATCATTTGTGATAGACAGTCTTCACAACATCTATCTCGGGGCATTTGTAAGTTTTATTTAGAATTTGCGTTTGATTCTCTGTTGTGTAGAAACGCCTCTTGTAATTATGGCTTAATCCATTGTACAAGTCAGAACAATGAAGTATATCTAGAGAACACTCCGGTTTGGCTGTTGACCTAAAATGTGTTAAATTTCCATCAACAACAACACACCATCCTCGTTCCTTTCTTAACTATCGGTAATACAAGGCTACTGAACTACGAGTATTGTTGCTCTGCAGTTTTCCAATTTTTGAAAAATTAATGAAGAAAAAATATTATGATCACTTTAAACAACTAGTGTTAGCTGTCCATTTATCTGAATCTCGTGCATTAACACAAAAAGATATACAGGCAGTGCAAAATTGATGTAATAGCCACTTGTTTCAATTTCCAAATATCGATGGCAAAAGACACAATGTTCAAGTTATCCATTCTGTTATGCATCTCTCAGAGAATATTCGTGATTTAGGATCGCTCACAAGTTATACGCCGTTCAATTTTGAATCACTACTTCTTGGTGGGTATTACCATTCATCAAATGAGTAGTAAAACTTTCTGTACAATGTTGAGCGAGTACGAGGTTTGTTTCTTAAACTTAAACGATCAGATCGAAGATTCTCTATTGTTACAAATAAATATTCTGTCGAAAAGTATTTTCTGGTGAATATTTCAAAATTTAATTATCTGTATTCATCAGAAGAACGAATAAATCGATATCAAGAAAAGACTGACTCAAATGTGCTGAATATACAGATTACTATCTCGAGCATAAACAATCATGAAGCTTATTGTAAAAGCTTTTTCTTACTAACAATCAATACTTTTCACACATTCAGAGACATCAGTGCTATCAAAAGTACAAACCAGTGATGATCTTAAAAGAAATATGTAGGAAACTGACACTAGTTCTTTTTTTTTGCGAATGATATAAATTTGCAATCAACTTTGTCTATATTCTAGATATTCTCACTCGTTCGACAAAAGGCATCCGTCGACATGCTCTTGAGATGATAAACAACCTGCTCTATTTAAGAGACACCTGCTTTCATCTTACCGACCCTGAGAGATACTTCTCTCTGCCAGAATTTCTTTTAAAGTTAATTAATAATTGTTATGATGTGAATCAATCATCACATATTGTCGAAACACGGCATTTGTTGAACATTTTTGATCCAAGAATTTCTTCATTATTATCCGGTACAATTAAGTTTTACTCTATGGTACTTATCGGCCGAGTTCGATTCACGACCAGTAATTGTTGTTGAAAGAAGCATGTCGATGATTCCTTTATAGTTTATTGAGTTGGTAACGAAGTTCATTTCGGTCGTATTCATCGAATATTTACGATTAATGATGGGCACGTACTTTTCCAAATCTTCCCACTTGCAGCTTCTACTCATTTTACTTGCGAAACTGCAAACGAACAACTTGATTACAATGAAATTCAAATGGGTATGATTTCTTCTGGAACAACTACATGCATCATCAAAGCACACCAAATCATCGAGAAATGCGTCTTCTATGTACAGGGTTGTGCATAACCTTTTGCTAGGGGGGTAGCGTCATTATTTCAAGTTGAATACCTAATGAATTTTATACCAAATTAAAGAGCGTCGAAAACTGGATTTATTAGTACTAAATAGTAAGAGTTATCAAAATATGTTAATGTGGAACTTACGAAATTTTCGGAAATTTT